TTTCTCTCTCATGTAAAACGGATCCAAGCGTTTAATGTGATACTCTTTGGCATAATTGATGAGACAATCGATCAATTTGTTCATGTCTTGAGTGTTGTCGTGACCATTCTCTTGTGTGCTGACAGTCATGATGATTGGTCAGTGCTGTGTCTATGGGGTGGATGTGATGTGTCAGTGGAAGTGTCTGTCTGTTCGTCCCCTCAGGAGGAATGGTATCACAAGAGATGACGGGATTATCTCATCTCAAGAGATATTATTACAGCGAAATACCGGTGCGTTTGAGTTTGAGATGAGTTGTCAGACATTGAAAATAACTGCAAAACATAATAAAAAATAAAAGTTTTAGTTTAAATAATAATTATATTTATTGAAATGTAAAACTCAAACACACATTACATTTATGCAAACAATTTGTGTTATTTTGTTATTATTATAAACTTGTGTTAATTTATATCGCTATAATTATAACATGGGTATTTTACAGTACAACACACATTGTAGTTTAGTTAACCACTCTCGCTATAATAAACATATCGGTAAATATTAAATGAAAATTTAATGTTACCATGATTTTATAATTAAAAATTACATTGTTCACTTTCACTCTACATGTTATACACAGTGCAATTCTGTACACTATTAGCGAGTTTTATCACAACTATATCTCACCATAAGTACACTGTAATGACAGAAACACTTGTGGTTTATCACCACAAAATAATTAAAAACCATAAATAAAATAATGATAAGTTTTATGAGATATTCACTAAACTATTTTCGCTATAACAACATGATAACGATGTGTACGAATAGGGTGTGTTTAATGCACAATGAGTTGCTATGGTAAAACATGTAGTTAATTAATTTAATACCAGCTATTAACTTTTAATATAATTTTAAAAATCACTATGGTAGTTTGGATTAACACTTACCATATGTGTGCTGTTATTATATGATTATTTATGGTTCACTATATCTAGAATAAACTGTTTTTACCATATATGCAAAGTAGTTGACCTGGAAATATACCGTATGGTTAACGCCTTGCGTTACGCACCGGTATTTGGGGGCAAAATAAGTGTAAAATCACATAAAATGTATATTTAATTGAGTTTTAAATGTATAATTATTTTCGCGAGATTTTTATTCAATCAGTGTTTAAAATTATTATCAATATTTAGGAAGTATTAAACTTGCTCAAACTTATATTTATTAAAAAGTTATTAATAGCCCAATTTTTATTATAGTATATTTTAGCTAGCACATTAAATAAAATAATTTGGATGTTCAATAATAATATGAGTAAAACAAATTAAACAATGTAGACACAAAAATATGACACAAGTTTAATGTATTAAGTCATTAGTGATAGTATTGTTAAAATATGTTTTGTCATGATCATAATTACCTATTTGTTTGTAAATT